TTTCATAGAGTTTCCACCTCTTTGCTTACATCACTCATCTCTTCTTGCATGTTATCTACTTTTTCCATTAGAGCTCTTAGCATATTAACCATAGTTATTTTAAATTCCTAGTGTGATGATTCCCAAATCTGCAATATCTGGGTCTGGTTCTGATGCTTGCTTTGTCTCTTCAGATTGTGTCTTATTTTCCTTTTAGCATGACTTTTATATTTTGGTTGAAAGGCAGACATAATGTGTGGAGTAATAAGAACTGACATAAATAAGTCTTTTGTATTAATTTAGCTAGGAGTTGTGCTGTGATTAATGTCTGCTGTAGGTATCAGAGGCTTCAATTTCCACTAGTATTCTTGTTTGTGTCTCCCTCTTTGTCATTTGGTTTCCATAAAAACTCCTTCTTGTATAGCATCTGAGTCTTGCAGCTCTTTCAGCTGTAATGCTCTGTTATACTGGACACCTGTTGATGTGGTGGTAAGGCATGGGGACAGTGCAAGTGTTCTATCATTCTGTGATTAAGTCTTGATCTTTTCATGGGCCTCTCTCTCTGCATCATGACCTTCACAAGTGCTTTAAATATTTTGTTTTCCCTTTAGGTGAGACAGGAAGGCTAGAGGGGGCTGGAGTTGGGTAATTTCTCTTCCCCTACAGTGGAGAAGGCTCTGATTTACATTGCTGTGTAGGTCTTTGTTATGGAGAACACGCTGGGTCTAGTTCAGAATAATTACTTTTCCCTCCCCCTGTCAGATGCACAAGGGTTTTTCTTGGCTTTATACCATGGGAATCTGGTGGGATTCCTGGAGCTAAAACTAAAAAAAAAAAAAAAAAAAAAAAAAAAAAAAAAAAAATGGGGAAGCCCCTAACACTGTGGCTCTCAAGAGTTTCTCACTCATACACTATTCTAAACTCTACTTGCAGCAATTCTTCGAAGTTACCCCTAAGGGTTTCTACCATTGTGTGGCTCTTACAACTTCTGCTCCTAGTCGCCAGATCTCAGATGTGATTCCCTGCATTCTCCTGTCTTTCCAGATTTATGGTGGTGGTTTTCCCACTGATCTCAATTCTCTGATCGATCCAAGAAAATTTACTGACATTCCGTTTGTCTAGTTTTTTCTTGTTATAAGATGGGGATGATGATTTTCAAGCTTTTTACATGTTAGAGCTATAACCAAAAGTCCTTCCTATTGTAAAAAATTTCATCATTTGTAAGATCAGGAACCTGAGGCTCACTGTGGTTAAATGAGTTGCTGAAGTCTTCTAATTCCTAAGCTGGTGTTCTGCCATTCACCATACTGCCTCTGGTTGCTATTAATATATCTCACAAAATCAGCCTGGGGAACACCCTGCAGGTAAAGCATATGGCAGAGCAGAGGGTGGGGCAAGGCAGGAGAAACAGGTGCACTGCTTTGAAAAAAACAATACACTGAAATCTCCTAACAGAGAGTGAACCTTAATAGCTGAGTAGTCACTTTAGCTTTACAAAAGGGTTCAGAAAAGGATTCTTATATTAGTAAACTGCTTTTACAATGTATGACTAAATTTGTAAAACTGTTATATACATCAATAGCCCTTGAATGTATTCAGAGTCAACTAACGGTACTGAACACTCACTATATATGAGTCACTATGCTAGAAGTTCTCACAGGGAAATGTTTTTGAATCGCAGTAACTTTGGAAATAGGTTCCTTTCTTCAGTATTTCCATTTTGCAGATTAGGAAAATGGCTCAGAGATATTTAAGGAGCTTATCCTTGATATGAAAAAAAGTAACTAGGGAGGTTGGATTCTAGTCTCTGCAACTAATTAGTTATATAACCTTGACCAAGTTATTTAATCTCTCTGAACTATATTTCACAAAGGGAATAAAAAATAATTATCTCCCAAGGTAACTTAGTGTATAAAAAGCACACTACCACAACTATAATAGTAACAGTAATTTGTATATAAATCTTTATATATAGTAACATATATAAATAGTAATCATAATTAACATGTTATAAATATTAATATATTACTAATATACTGATGGAGATTACAAAATTGAATAATAGAAATAAATTCTCTTATATGGCCCCTTGTAAAAAAGAGCCATGAATCTCATAAATGTGTTCAAAGCGCTCTGTAGCTCTGCGAGGTGTCACATAGTCTTAGATGCCAAGAGAAACAGTGTAAAAGTTAGGTTCTCCCTGGATGATAAGGCTGTTCAGGTCAGCATTTGTGGAAACATGACCATATCAAATTCCATCCCAAAGATGTTAAATTGAGTAGGATGTCAGATGCAGGTTTTTTTGATACGGTTCACGCAGAGTACAGTAAGAACGCTGGAAACCAGGGCTGGAATCAGCTACTGTTGCTCTGGAAACCATTTACAGATTCAGTGGTTGCAGCTACCACCAAGAGTTCCTGAAATGGCTGTGTTCTGATGCCTGGGTGAACCCTTAAGAAGAATTGCAAAGTATGGGGCAAATTTGAGGCAGCAGTCTGAGAAATATCAGCCTCATGTGCTGGCTCTCACCTTGAGCCAAATATTATCAACAGAGACATGCAGGGGAAAGGGGCTACTCCACCCATTCCTTTGGGATAGAGATGGACTGATGGGCAAAGAAGTGGAAAATATTCTAGAGGCCAGTCATGTCTATGAGCTAATCTAGGAGAATCCCAACAGGGCCACCATGACCCCAAATCTGTCCTTGACCACTGTGGGGTATTGTCACCTAGGCTCCTCGTTCTGCTAAAGTGCCAGGCAGGATCACTCGAAGGGAGGCTCCTATCACAGGCATCTGGTCACCTCCAAGGGGATCCTTAGGACCACAGAGCCCCTCTTGGTAACCATACAACAGAGGAGCTGTGTGACAGAAGAACACAGAAACAGCAACCTTGGAGAGCGGAAGTGGGGTGACTAAGGGAGTCCAGTTATTGGTGAGGGAATGGGGTGCCAGCCAAAGTAACAAGTCCAGAGAGTTATTTCAGGCAGCACAACTTGTGACGGTGAGCAACAGGAAACAATTTGGGAAGACCACTCCAGCTAACCAACAGTTGTTAAGCTCAGGGATGTCTACCTGGTGACAGTGTAGCCTGAGTCATCAAGGGTTCGAAACTCCAAAGGCAACAAGTCCTTCAAGTGGCCTCTGACTCACGGGCAGTTCTATCTGTGGCTAGGCAGAGCCAGCGTGTGAGCTCCACGCCGACCGGTGCCGTGATGTGCATCTTCAGGGAGTTGATAAAGGGGCAATTTCTCCAAATACAAGACAGGGACAGATTCTTTTTTGGCAGAAGCCACCTCGAAAATCATCAAATAAAAATGGTGGAGGAGTAGTGGGACATAGTGGAGGTCAGTTGGCTCACGAGGCATTTACTTTCCAGGGCAGGGAGTTTTCTATGTAACATCTACACCTGTGTTGCCATGGAAACCGAGCCATGTTTTAAAATATCTAATCCAGAGATCATTATCAATTATAAAGGACTGATGGAACAGGGCTATGAATGGTTTCCTTAGGAATCCAGTTTTCTTCTTACTTAAGGACTCCAGAAATTCTGTATATTAGGTTATTTCCATTTTGCAGATAAGAAAACCATGGTTAAGATATATTTAAGGAGCTTTTCTTTGATATGAGTGAATAACTAATGGAAGTTTTATTCTAGCCTTTTTCTTTTAAAAACAGTTTGTTCAGGGGAGGGGGTGGGGGGATGGGTTAGCCTGGTGATGGGTATTAAAGAGGGCACCTTTTTACGTGGAGCGCTGGGTGTTATGCACAAACAATGAATCGTGGAACACTACATCCAAAACTAATGATGTAATGTATGGTGATTAACATAACAATAAAAAATTTAAAGAAAAAAATAAAAACAGTTTGTTCAAGTGCAATGTAGAGGATGTTTGTTTTAATTGACAAGACAATGGTGGCACGACAGAAAATAAATGTGTTTGCCTAAACAACAAAAAGACAAGATTTCCCTTTCTAAATAAAATTTACAAATTGTCTAAACTTAAACATTATATAGAATTCAAAAGAATTCCTTTAGATCCTGTGCTACACCGGGAATAGTTTTTATTATGGGTAAAAATAAAATACAATAAAATACTGGTCTAAGCCAGCATTTCGTATATCATGGACAAGTCTTATACAATGACCAGTCCAAGACCCAGCACCATGTGGAGCGTTAATTGAGGACCTTCTTTCCTTGCAACATACTCTAGTCTAAATGACCGGTTCTCAAATGTGGTCTTGGACCAGGAGCATCAGTACCACCTGGGAACTTGTTAGACATGCAAATTCTTGGGCTGCTATTGAAGCAGAGACTTTGGGGGTGGGACCTGGGAATCTGATTAACAATGTGACTCACCTCTCAGGTGATTCTGATGCCCCTTAAGATTTGAGAACCACGGCTGAAACATTACGATGGCAAGATCTCAGGTCCAACATGGCCCCCGGCTATGATCCTGAGGCCCCAAGATGGCAAAGTTCCAGTGGACATGCTCAAGTGGGACTGGTCCGTGCAAATGGGACCATGCTCTGTGTTGCTGAGGGCAGTGCAACGTTTGCATTAACACATTTCCGTAGATTGGCTAGCTATCGATGCCAAGAGAGTTCACTACTAATTAAACAAAGTTAGCCTCCATCTTTTGTTGCTGCTATTCCTAATCCTCCTTCTCAAGGCCATTGGCAGAAGTTGTTCATGCTAAAGGAAAACTGGTTTACTTAAAACAGGGTTTCTTTGTCTTGTCACTATTGACGTTTTATCGTGAGGAGCTGTCCTGTGCATGTTTAGCGGCATCTGTGGCCTCTACCCACTAGATGCCAGAAGCAATTCCCATCCCCCTCTCCCCTCCCACTAAGGCATGACAATCAAAAATGTTTCCAGATGTTGCCAAATATCTCCTGGGGGCAAGACTGCACCCTGTTGAGAACCACTGAGTTAGACCAAAACATTTCCTTCAAAGGGGTAGGAAAGGAGGGATGTGGCAGGAATAGGAGCAGGCTTCCAGAGCCCCTGGGGGCAACTCACGTTGTAGGACCGGCCATGCCTCCGTTTCCACTGTACCAGCACTATCTGGGCGATGACCAGGGTGCAGAGGAAGATCAAGATCATCTCCACGTGCATGGACTCATGGCCCCGGTGCATCTTGTACATCCTCTCCTGCTGCAAGCTGGAACCAGCAAATGAGGTCATCTGAAAAAGCCTTCAACCCTTGCACAGCACATTTAGGGGGGAAAAAATGTCTGGGCTCATGGAAAGCGATTGGAGGTTTCGAATGTAGGGGGTTTTAAGTCTGATTGCAGTTTTCCTAAGTTTTTCTTGTTTTTTTCCTTTTCTCCCAGGCTTACAGAGGGGGCAGCAGAGAGGAGGAGCCTGAGTTCATCAGGGAAACCAATTGCTCTCAGCCCTTAACTAGCCTGTGTGGTTTTAGCCTCAGCCTTGTCCTTTCAAGTGAAGTGATGGGGCCAAAAAAGTCACTGGTGGGCTCTGGAAAGACTGGGTGCCGGTCCCCGATCTGCCACGTCGTCGCCATACGGACTCGCGGGAGTCACTCATCCTCTCTGCACCACAGTATCCTCCTTTGCAAACTTAAAGTCATGATCCCTCTGTACTTCACATGATTGTTCTAAAACTGCAAAGCCCATGTTATTTTATTTGTTCTTAAATGAGGAATAATAATGATTATTAGCTTAAATCATATGCAATTGCCATTTTTGAGAGTCAAAACAGTAAAATAGTGGTAATTTCAAGTAACTTTTAATATTCTGAAGTAAAAGGATATCCTGCCCATGGTGCCAATGGAGAGAATACTATCCAAAGGGATCCAGAACACTCCTGAATGAACTGTATACATGTTTTTTTCATTATAAGGAGAAAGGAGAAGCCCACGTTTTATCTTCGGCAGGCACAAACATTCAGATGATGGCTGAATGTCTCAGTTTTTAGCTGGGCTCTTGGGTTTGCGTAATGGTGGAGAAAACACTGTAACAGTACGTCATCTGGTTTAACTTCCTATAGCCGAAGTGACTTCAAAGAAAGCCTAGAGCAGTGTGGTTCTTGATGTTGGCTATAAGTTGGAAATCACTGGGGAGCTTTGAAAAGCCCCAGTGTCCAAGCTGTGCCCAGGTCAATTAAATGACCCTTTCTGCGTGTTATGGGCTGAAGTGTACCCACCCCCATTCATATATTGAAGTCGTACCCGCCCCGCCCCCTGGTTCCTCAGAAGGTGACTGTATTTGGAGATAGGAACTTTAGGGAGGTAAATAAGGTTCAATGCCAACCCTGAATTGGGCCCCAATCCAATCTGACTTGTGTCCATCTAAGAAGAGGCTATTTGGATATAAACTCACACAGAGGGAAGACCATGTGAAGGTGCTGTGAGAAGGCAGGCACCTGCAAGCCAGGAAGTGTCGGGAGAAACCAGACCTGCCGACACCTTGACCTTTGACTTCTTGCCCCCAGAAACATGAGAAAGTAAATTTTTGTTGTTTAAGCCACCAGGGCTGTGGTACTTGTCATGGCACTTCAAGTTCCACATGTGATTTTAAGGGGCAGCCAAGATTGAGAACCACAGGGTTAGAGGAAGAGAAAGCAGTCCAGGGTCAAGATTAGGGGAAATGGGAAAATTGTGAATGTCCCCAGTCGAATACTTTATAAATAGTGGTTAGCATTTCAACCCCAATGGGGCACCATCAGTCAAGAAATCTCTTGAAGTTTCCACTTATGACTGGTTATAGTGTGCATTTGATGTACCCATCAGAAAACACTGCAGGGTAATATTCTGTGCCATAAGATTGTGACCTTTTAAAGGCACTCATTGGGTACGCATGTTGGGTTCTCCCCCTTTACCGGTAATTTCTACAGCTACCCTAAAGAGTAAAGTACCAAGTGCCTCTGAAAAGGGCACTGAGGGTGCCCCCTGCTGGAGAATGTGTAGAAATGAGCCTGCAGAGCCTAGTAAATACTCTTGCCTTAGTTCACCTTTGAGATGGAATCTTAGAACCTTCATGCTGGGAGGTACATTAGATGTACTGAAACCCCTACATTTATCAAATGAAGAGGCTGAAGTCCATACCAGGTAAGCAACCTGAATAAAATTACATTGTTAATAGTCTCTGCGTTGGAAGCTGAGCTTAAGAGACAAGAATGATTTTCAGAAGCTCGTTAAAAAATATACTCGTTTCTTTGAAGAAATGGGAAGTGAAGAAAAATAAAAGGGCACAAGCACTTATAGTCTTTACAGCCCCAAATCCAAAATAACTATTTAATATTCTATTTAATGAATAGACTTTCAACTTAGGGCATGTAGATAGAAAGGTGAATTTATCATCAGTCTAAAATAGGGCTTGCATAGATATAAAACAAAATATGCTTTATGACATTTATTTTGTGTATATATATGTGGGTGTGTATATATATATAATGAAAACATATCTCAAATGGTTAGCCTATGTGGAAGTACTTTGGAAAGTATAAAGTAGTGTGTAAATATAGGTATTTCCTATTTTGATTAGGAATACATTCATAATTGATTACCATAATGCAAAAAAGGAGGAACTTTTCATTTTTGTTTCATTTCTTTTGGTGCCCACAGAGCCCTAGTAAGTACCAGAACACAGGGGAAACAGCATATAAAGAAAACCAGATGTATCTTGTACCTAAAATAAAAACTAACTTGACACTGCCCTATTTTGAAGGGACATCCAAATCTAGCTTTGTGGGACCGCGTGAAGCACACTGTCGGAAACAGGTGAAGCCCCTGTGGTTTTGGCCCATGCTATCGGTGCGCATGCTCGCTGTGCTAGCCCGCCTTCTGTAGCCTGAGACATTTACAAATAAATCATAGTTTCATTTAATTTCTCAAACTGTTAAGGTGGAAATGTAATATTTAGTATAACAGCTGTAAAAAAAAAAAAAGACTCATCACTTACTTCCACTCATCATCCACAGAAAGCTTTGTGTGAGAGATCTGGAAAAAAAAAAACACAAAATACAAAAACAAAAAGAGCCCTTCTCAAAATTTCTTTGTTCTTTTCAGCTTGTATTTTATAGCATTACATGGGAAACCCAAACCATGAAAAACAGTGATGTTTCCTAGTACTAGAGTAACTTAGGATGAAAGCCCTAGTAGAATATTTGCTTACAGAACACACACACACACACACACACACACACACACACACACACACACACACACACACCCAAGAGTATTCAGGTTACTATTAATAAATATTTGATTCTGTTCCTAAGTCAGAGAACCAGATGAGGCTCCATTCCCATAGTTTATCTGGCAGTTCAGTGAAGACTGTAGAGAGTGGCCTCCCAGTAGGCAGTGTCACCCTGGCTTTTGGGATAGGATATGGGAATCCTAAAAAACATCTCTTGCTGGTGTATTAAATGATGCCGGTGAGTAAATGTCTGCAAGTTCAAGGTTTTAGAGACAGAGATGACCAGAGGTTTTACTTGTTTGGAGCATTTTTTTGTGTTCTCCTGCTAATTTAATTTACAGCCTTGCCTTTGCAGACTGAGCTGGAGAGCACAGACCCCACCCCAGGAAGTGCTTTTGGATGACCTACAGATTGTAGCCACGTGCTGCCTTCCCTTGAGCAGAGCTAATCCACTACATTTGGTCATTTGAGACCTTTAAGGCAATCCTTGAAAAGACATAATCTTATAATTTTCATGGAGAGCACAGAGAGCTTAATCCCTCGTCCTATATGTTTAGAGCTAAAATCCCCAATGATGGCAAAGAAGGGAAGGCAAATAAAGCATTTGTTACACAAATATGATCCTAACTAGGTGTTTTTTCTGTATTCTTCAAATGGCACCAGCAAGTTTGACCAATGGGAAAAAAACAGTGCCATCCCTAGTTCAGTCTAGGTTTCTCTGACTCAGGGTAACCAGGTTCCATAATAAAACCCGTGCTTCTGCCAGAGGCTTGAGGGGTTCCCTTAGGAGAGAGGACAAGGCTTCAGATGACATCGCTAGGGAGAGGCTTAGGCAGTATTTGCACAGTACCAGGACTTGCCAGAGAATGCCAGGAAAGGGGAAGTGGGTGAAGCAGCCGGTGATGCCGGCAGCTTCTCTATGGCTCCCCTGCTTCTGGATGATTCCATCAGGTGGTCCCCGACATTCAAACAGCTGGGCTCCAGTGCAGCCTTCTGGGAGCAAAGCCTTAGGGGCCACCCTTAGGGAGCAGTAGTACCGGAGTCCCCACCTGTCTGATAGGTCCCTCCCTCTCTGCGGACTGCTGCTTCGGGGTAAAAAAAACATTGCATGGGTTTAGAGCCCTGAACCATGCATCCATTTAGCACCACCCGACACTGAACATTGAGCTAATGGTTCCTTGGGTGACTGTGGGCACAGCACTAGCCTATGATTGTCTCAGTTCCCGTATTAGAAACTGGAGATTGATAGAATAGCTGCTCTTGTTAAACTTGCTGGGAATGTTGTGAGTATAAATAAGATGCTACATAAGAGTTTTGTTGGTGCTTAATCCAAGGGCCAATTAACTCAATTAAGAGTTATAATCTAGGAGTGCCTGGGTGGCTCAGTTGGTTAGGCGGCTGCCTTGGACTCAGGTCGTGGACCCAGGGTCCTGCGATCGAGCCCCACATGGGAGTCCCTGCTCCGCGGGGAGCCTGCTTCTCCCTCTGCCTGCCACTCCCCCTGCTTGTGCTCTCTTGCTCTCTCTTTCTTCCTCTCTGACAAATAAATAAATAAAATCTTTTAAAAAAAGAGTTATAACCTATAGGACTCCCTGGCTGCTTCTCTTTTTGCTATTCAGGATCATAGGGTTCACAGGGCTTCTTATTAAAGTCAACTTAAAAAAGGGAACTGAGGGCCCACCTGGGTGGCTCAGTCATTAAGCGTCTGCCTTCGGCTCAGGTCATGATCTCGGGGTCCTAGGATCGAGCCCTGCATCGGGCTCCCTCCTCAGCAGGAAGCCTGCTTCTCCCTCTCCCTCTGCCTCTCTTTCCGCTGGTGCTCTCTCTCTCTGTCATGCTCTCTCTCAAATAAATAAAATCTTTAAAAAAAAAAAGGGAACTGAGTTTTTAGTTAAGTTGAGAAGAAAAATTACCTTTGCCTTTTACTAGTCATATAGCCCTGGGCCTAAATGTATAACTATCCACCAGATTCTAAGTCATTTTTAGTGAAGTATGATACATTATTCTACTGAAGACCAGAAAAGCTTAGGGAGTGGAAATTAGAGTTGAAAAGTTTTCTGCTAAACACAAGTTAAGAACTTTGTTAGATCAAGTGTACTGAAAAATACTCTCATTTCCTAGGGAAAAAGTGAATATAATGATAATGATGATGATGATGATATTTTCAGAGATATCTCTTTTCTAGTAATAGTTCCCTACAGTACAATATTTTTTTTTTCTAGGGTGGAGTCTACTTTTTGACAATTTTTTTTCTGGTATGTTACTATGCAAGCCCACTTAATATCTTACGAGGATTTATTTTGGAATTAAAATGAACACTAAAATTCATCTGGAAAAATAAGCATATTAAGGATAGCCAGGAAAACTCAGGAGAAGAGTAAATGCCGGACAAGCGGCCTACCAGATGCTGAAATACACAATAAAGCCACAGAAATTAACTGAAGGTATTACTGGTCCAGGAATAGGAAGACAGATGAGTGGACAGACACAGGTCCAGGAACAGACCCAAGTCCATATGATAAATGAGTCACTTCAAGTCAGTGAGAAAAAAAAATGGATTGTTCAACAAACGTTGCTGAGACAACTGGATGGGCATTTGGAAAAAAATATAGAGCTGTATCCATACCCCATCTCAAAATAAATTCCAGATGGATCAAATATTTAAATGTAAAAAAGAAAGTCTTAAAAGCACTAGAAGACAATATGGGTAAATGTTTTAATAATCCTGTAGTGGACAAAGTATTTTTAAGTATGAGGTAGAGATCAGAAATTATTAAGTAACAAAAAAGCAACAGACTTCTTTTTTTTCTAGGCAGAATGAAAGTTGGAACTTTGAGGGTGAGGGTGGTTAGCCAGGAGGAGCTCAGGGTCAGAGCCTTGCCCAGAGGGATGGTGGAAAACTTGTGGGACTTTGGGGAATTTGGTTGGACCAGAAACCAGGTTGGGGTCACATGGAGAGCCTCAGGGGGTCCACTGAGAGGGCTAGTTGAATCTTTAGACCCCAGCGTCCCCCAGCCCCACCTTCTCTTAGGGACAGTGAGGTGGCTGGCTGGGCCAGGGGCAGGCAGGCAGAGACAGTAGAGGAAAAGGTACAGTGGCTGTCCATTCACTCCAGCCCTGGATGAGGCACAATCACTTGATTACTGTGGGCAGAGAACCCAGGGTGCCTGTGGGCTGCGGGTGGGGAGGTGGGATACACGGGCTGGGCTGGGAGGTGGCCCCTGCACTCTCCTGCTTCTGGATGTCCCCCCCCCCCCAGGACTGAGGGTGAGAAGGGCCATCCATGGGGTTGGGAAGGATAAAGCCCTCTGAGCCCTGGAATCTTCTGTGCGGACCTCCGCCTGCCACCTGCCGGGAAGGGTCCACCACTGGTTCCTGAGAAGAGCTGAATGTTGTTGCTTCTGGAGAGTGGGAAATCAGGAATGGGAAAGGGTGGAGTGGTCATGGGGACCCATTGTTTTTTTTGTTTGTTTGTTTTAAGTCTTGTAGAACTATTTGACTCCTTAAAATGTGGATGTACCTAATTTTAATAAAAATTAATATTAAAAGGAAAAAAATGTCCGTAACAGCAAGATATGATTTTCACTTAAAAGTATGACAAGGGGAAAAATATTTAGTGGCCAGAGCTGATAAGGGAAAATGGTCTTCTCATGCCCTTCAGATGTGTTGTGTACATTAAGACAGTTTCTCTGGGCAGAAATTTGGCGAGGCATGTCAAAATTTTAAGTGTTCGTTTATCCTATGTAGAACAGTCTAGGAATATTCTCTCACGAAATGAAGAGAAAAATACACAGGGAAAGATGACACAGGTGTTTGCATAGTTTTATTTATAATATTGAGAAATTGGCCACAATCTATGTGTCAACCCATGGGGGATCGGTTAATGAGTTATGATATATCTAGAACAGGAAATCTGCTGGCTCTTTAAAATGATTGTGCAGATCTATATTTATTGACATAGAAGTATCTCCATGACATATTGTTAAGAGAAAAAGCATGCTTCAAAAACAGTTTTATATAATGTAAACCTATTAATGTAAATATAGAGTCACATAGAATCAAGAACCATCCAGAAGAAAGATGTCCAGAATGGTCACCAAAGTGCTAACAGGAATGATCCATGAATGCTGATGTCTATTGGAATATTTACTCCTTTTTTATACTTGTCTATGTTGACTATATTCTGCATGAACATATGTCACTTAAATGAAGAAGTCATTTTTTTGGGGGGGGGAAATAACATGTTTCATTTTTTATAAAATTTTTTCTTAACATATATTGCATTATTTGTTTCAGAGGTACAGATCTGTGATTCAACAGTCTTGCACAATTCACAGCGCTCACCATAGCACATACCCTCCCCAATGTCTGTCACCCAGCCGCCCCATCCCTCCCACCCCCCACCACTCCAGCAACCCTCAGTTGAAGAAGTCATTTTGATTCTGCTTCTCCTTTTTCCTTGTCTCTGAGTCGCCAAGTCTTTTTTCCCTGCAGCACATTCCTATTTATCTCTCTTCCTGTTTTATCTCACTTTTGAGCTTCAGATTCTTCTACCCAAGGGCCTTTTGCAGATCTCCACTTGGATGTCCCTCAGACACACAAACTCAACCTGCCCCAACCTGAACATATTAATTTCCCCCCGACCTGCTTCCATTTCAGTTCCCCCTTCCCACTCAGCAGCTCCACATCCCATGTATCCAATCATTCAAAACAGAAATATGGGGCACCACTCTTGACCCTGGCCTTCCACCTCCCACCCAGTACCCTCCTGCTGACCTTACGAAAGTACCTGGCAACCCACGTCTTTCCACCTCAACGGCCTCTATGCCAACCGTTTTCTTCATTCATTGAACAAATACCTATTGAGTACCTCCTGGGTGCCAGGCCCTGGGCTAAGAGCTGGCATATGATAAAGGTCAGACAGACAAGGTTCCTGTTCTCATGAATTGAGCCTTGTGTTCTAGAGAAAGTACGGATAATAAACAAGTAAGGAAAACGATGACCTAAGGTGGTAAATTCTATGAAGAAACGAAACCGAGTGTGTGGTAAAGAAGAGCCAGCACGGGGAGGGGCTGTTACCCTTATAGACTGCTTGGCAAGGGAAAGCCTGCCTCAGCCTGAGGAGAGATCCAACCGGGTGTGTAGAGTGTTCCCTTCTTCCCGGAGGGGCTCTTGCCTTCACTCCTTTTCTCCCTTCAGACAGTGAGGGTGATCCAAGTACAAGCAAAATGATCACATCGGATCCCCCGCTCAAAACCCAAGTGGCTACGCTTGTCACTAACACGGCTCCTGTGGCCCTTTTCAGCTTCATTTCTCTTCAGAACCCCTACACACCCTCTGCTCCAGCCAAGCAGAACCTTTCTTCCCCTGAATGCTCTTCCTCCACCCCCAGACACCCTTTGGGGATGCCCTAGATTCCACTCCCTCCAGGAAGCCTTTGGGGTTAGGCCTCTCCAGTAGATCTGTTGTCCACTGAACACTGTTACCACACAGCATAGTCACTGGTGATTTATTACTTGTCTTACCCCACCCTGAATACCCCCTGTCTGGCACATCACACACTCAATCAATACACAGTTGACCTCTGAATGATGCAGGGACTAGGGGTGCCAGGCCCCCGTACAGTCAGAAATTGGGGTATAACTTTTGATTCCCCAAGGCTTAACTACTAATAGCCTGCTGTGGACTAGAAGCCTTCCCAATAACATAAATGGCTGATCAACACATACTGTGTAGGTTATATGTATTATTACTGTGTTCCTACAATAAAATCAGCTAAAGGAAAGAAAATGTTATTAAGAAAATCATAAGGCAAATGCGTTTACAGTACTGCACTGTCAATAATCCATGTATACGTGGACCTGTGCAGTTCGACCCCGTGTTGTTCAAGGGTCAACTGTATCTGAAAACTGCCTCCCTCCCAGCACCAGCCTCACCATTTCTCACCTCAGCTGCTGCCTCCAAATGGGTTTCCCCACTTTCAACTCTTTCCTCACAAAAATCCACCTGTTAGAAAAATCTTGCTAAAATGCCTGACAAAACCAGAACAGTCAACTCAAACTACTGGTGTCCCTGACGTATGTGAGGGAGGTAAGGATGTGTCAGGCTTGGAGGGCTCTGTTTAGTGATACGGAATCTATGTCACTGGGCGAGGACAAAGCTTCCATGGCTGGAGGGGGAGGGAGGGAGGGGTTATGTCAGGCCTACTTCAAGGCAGAGAACAATGTTGGGGCACAGGTAGGTCCTCTGGGGGAAATCAGAGGCTGAAAAACAGGCCTCAGACAAGCAGAAGAGCAAACTGCTGAATCCCCGCTATCTGCTCTCTTGCACCCCAACTTTGAGGAGTCTCAGGAGCAGATAGGGTGTAGCTGGCTCTCAAGACCACAGGGGATATAGCTGGGGAGGAGGGTGGGGAATAGGGAGGTGTTTGTCATAAAGAGGTAACACAGGGAGCTGGGCAGACTAGAGTCCCAGATCATGAGGTTGTATGTTTATTATTCATTCACTGATTTGTCCAATAAACATTTTCTGAGGCCCTGCCATATGCCAGGCTCTGTGCTGGGTTCTGGAAATACAGTAGCCAGCAAAGCAGATCAAGTGCTTGCTTTGCTGGAGCTTCCAAGGTGATGGAGGTTCTCAGAAAAACAAATACACAACTAGACATGCTTCAGGGGGTAATAAGGATGATGAATGAAAATAAAATAGGGTAAGGTTTAGAGTCAGAGGGTGCTGTAATATACAGGGTGGTCAGTAAATTCTTACGGGGTTGGGGTGGTCAGTAACCATATCTATTTTTCTTTTATTATCCTCAGCTCTTATAAAGTCTGTTTTAAACTAGCACTTCTCAAACTTTGATGTGCAGTCACCCAGGGGTTTGGTTAAAATGCAGATTTTAAGCCAGTAGGTTTGGGGTGGGGGACTGAGACTCTGCATTTCTAATTGGCTTCCAGGTGACACCTTGGCTGTTGGTCCCTGGACCACATGGCTCTGCTATGGGGGATTAAGGAAAAGCTGTGAGTTCCTCCTGGGGAAGAGTTAACAGGGGACCGTGTCTTCTGAGGGCAGTGGGCAAGGCAGTGATGGCAGCCTTAAGGGACAGCAAACATCAGCTGCAGAAGGAACTCTGCCAGTCTTCTGCCCTTCCCAGCTTGCAGACTTCTCCATCCATAACCCGCCGTGAATGATCTGATCTGGGTCTGAAACCAGCAAGTAAGTCATGGAGTTCCCTTATAGCTTCCCCATTTTAGAGAATAGATCCCCACTGCATAGTGTGTTACAAGATTTGTCATAACTCAGCTCTCCCTTCCTATAAGCCTTCATGAACCCTGGATTTCTGCCAGGGTCATAGTGACTATCCACGACCACCCCCCAACAATTTTTTTCACCTCAAGTAATTTGGTATTCCTGTTTCCTCCATGGAGAATTCTCATTTCCCCTCACGGCCACATGGAATCTCATCCATCCTCTGAGGTCCAGCTCACAATAGCCATGCCACACCCCCAGCCTCCAATCAGCCTTGCCCACCCTCCCTGTCAGAAGCAATTCCTTGCTCCTAGAAATCCTACAAAACTTCACTCAAACCTCTTTGGGGACAGTAATCTCTTCCTACCCTGTATGAGTTATTTTATCCTTGTTATACTTTCTTCCCAGGATGTGAACTCCCAGAGTATACCTCTAACTGCCCCTTTACCCATGAGTAGCACAGTTCCTAGTATGTGATCATGGCCTACGAATCGTCTATAAATGAAAAATATTAATGACTTGGATTTGAAATCACCAAAGGGCATTGGGGGGAGAGTCTGGGAGGAGGAAAGTGCTAGCCCAGAGGTTCTCAAAGCTTGAGCATCAGCACCTCCTGGTAACTAGTCAGACTTGCAAATAGTCAGGCACTATCCCTGATGTCAGGAATTAGAAACCCTGGCTGGGGGCAGAGCCCAACTGTCTACCTGCTTTTTAACTAGCCTTCAGAATGATTGTGATGCACGCTGCCGTGTGAGAACTGTAAAGTCAAGCCTGATGTACACGCAGCACCCGTCAGCTGTCCTCTTCCAATGCCCACGGCCTTCACCTGGGGCCTGGGGCTTCCGCCAGGGAGCAAGGAGAGAGGGGCAGCCAGTACGGAGGACAGGGAATAGATAGGGATGAGTCGGATAAGAGTCCTTCAGGAGGACACGTGGGGGAGGGAAGCTGGAAGAAGGAAGGGGTAGGGGAGGAGAAAGGGGAGAAGGAGCAGAAGAGGGAGAGGGAAATGGAGAGGGGCTCGTCTTCCCTGGGGTAGGGTAGGCTGAGGCGAAGCAACGGGCACCTTCCAGAAGGGTCATCGCCCCTCCATCCCGCGCCAGGGCGGGGGACTCGGAGACCCGTCCGTGCGGCCACCCGGCCCCCGCGTGAGCCTCGGGACTCTAGCCCCGTGTCCCCCGGCCTGCGCCCCGCGCCCGGTACCTGCTTGTGCTGGGGAGGCGCCTCCTGCACCCGCGCCGCCTTGCGCACCGCGGCCTCCGCGGCCATGCCTCCGCCGCGGCGCCCGCCCTCGGCCGCGCTGTCCCTCGCGCCGCGCGGGCAGGGGAGGGTCTCCGGGAGGCCCCGGGGCGGGGGGGTGCGACCTGCCCCGCGAGCGCCGGGGGCGAACTGTGCCTGCGGCGGCCCCGCCCTGGGTCCTGCGGTAGCGCGCGCGGACCGCCTCCGGGAGCGCCGCCCCTCCGCCCCGCGCCCGCGGCCCCGGCGCCCGCAGAGGCTGGGGCTCCGGATCCTCCTCCCTGTCACTGCCCAGGAGAGCCTTTGGGGATCTTTCCCTCTGCAGGCACGCAGTTGTCGGCCACCATGGCTCTTACCGCGTCCTGCGCCTGGCTCCTGCCGGCGGTTTTGTCCCAGGCGGCAGGGCCGGAGAGCCGCTCAGAAGTAAGGTGGGAAGACATGTGGGGAGTACCGAGAGTGAGAAATGGAGAGGAGAGAGGGAGCGAGGCGTCGTTTTCTCTCGGCTCTTTCCTTCAGAAGCCTTTATCCGAAGACGGGAGTTCAGGTGGCTGTCCAAAACTGGGACACTGAACTTCGGTTTCATCTCCAGTTGCGTACCTGTTCCTGGGCCCAGCGCCCCTCCTTCCCTGTTGTCTGCAGTTTTAATATACTGGACAGGTCCCTGATGAAGTCACACTTGGCCCCTCCAAAGATGACAAAGGGGAGAAACCCTGTGGGGAGAGAAGGCAGACCCTCTGGGCCTCTGTGCGGCTCTGTGCCTGCACTTCCCTTGGGAAATCACCCACAACTTGCCTTTGTCCCCTCCACCTTCAGGGGGCATTCTCCTTCCCCTCAGCTGTAGACCCAGTATGGATTTATGGCAGGGAACAGGCTGGAGCATTTGGCGAAGCCTTTAGAAATGCACTGGTAGGGAAATAGACAAAAAGGGAACACATAAGTATATAGTCTGACTTATAAAATATGGCTCACTCCCTTCCAGTTTGTGGTGACTCATAGTTTTCAACACCTACAAGGAGCTACCAGTGGAGACTGACGAAGAGATGGACACATCCCTGCCATTGTAGAACTTATGGTCCAGCAGGGTGTAGAGACAAACATTCAGGACAATTAACTGCGGTAAGTGCCTTCCTCTTCCAAGTACTTTACTCTGTGTTAACTCATTCAGTTTTCACAGCAAGGCTACCAGGTAGGTGGTGTTATTATCTCCATTTTACAGGAGGACATTGAATCACAGAGAGGTGCAGAAGTTTGTCCAAGTTTCAAAGCTGGTAGGTGGTGCAGTGGGAATGTGCCTTTTGGCTTCAAGGGTGGGCAGGAGGACTCAACTATGGTTCAAGTCAGGGGGACCAGTCAGAAAGCTATTGCTGTAGTTCCAGTTAAAGACGGCAATGGCCTTGGTGGTGTATGTGAGTATGTGCAGGGATGAGGTGGAGGAGAGATGGAGAGACGTGGATGGAGCCAAGAGATCTAGGTGATAGAATCTGTAAGACTTACTGATCCTCAAGGATGGCTCTCAGTCATGTGGCTCGAGCAGCTTGGTATTTGGGCAGAGGGTGCTGAGAGTGGGAATACTGAAAGAGCAGCAGATTTCTGGGAACAAAGATAATGAATTCATTTGGACATGTTGCCTTCCTACCTAGCTCTTGGCCTGTCTTCATGTGGCAAAGGCCATTTTTTTTTTCTCCAGTCTAGGATGTCCTCAAATTCATCTGGATTCCTCTAAGTCAGGTACCCCTCCCCCGCAACACACAAATGTCTGGGTAGAAATAGAATTTCCCTATCCTATAAAATTCTGGCCTATTATTATTATATAAGTTCTGACTCCCTGATATGAGATTCTCTTCCCTGGTTGATTGACACCAGAAATGTCTCCATATTTCACTGGAGACACCTGTGAGCACAAAGGGAGTCATCTTCCTTCTGATTTCAGCTCAATAGTCAGCAGGGAATAAAACTCAAAAAGTCCATTTCTTCCCCACTGTTAGTGATGGACTTGCTCTACTGTATTAAACCTGTTTCCTTTCCTGACTCATTTCCAGATATAGAACTAACACCTTGTTTCCCAGAAAGGTAACCGTTGCTTTCTGGAGTGGTTTACCCAAACAAAGTTAATTACTTTGCAAATTTGTTTCCCAAATCAAATGCTTGGCGACTGAGTGTCATAAATCCTGGAATAAATCAACAGCCTTCCTGTCGTTTAGCGCTAATTTCTTTAGCATATTAGCAATAGCTCATGTATCCTCCTGTTGTGTCTTAATCTAGAGCCCTGAGATGATTGTAATGATGTAATGAAAGAAATGAGCTAATGTCATAAAGGTGTTTGAAAAACAAGGTGGATTCAAGAATAGTTAGAAAATTAAGTATGCTATTTGGTGCAGGAATAGAGAAATAGACCCATGGAACAGAATAGAAAGCCCCCCAAATAGACACATGGATTTACAGGAAGCTAGTTTTAGGACAGGAGAGACAAATCATCAGGGATACATGGACTATTTAGTAATTAGCTTGCCATACCAAAACAAAACAGGTGGTTTAAAAAGCAAAACTTGAAGAAGACAATTTAAACGAATATCATTATCATCTCAAGATGGCGAAAAATATATTAAACAAAACTCAAAAGGAACAAATCATAATGGAAAAGATTGGTAAATTAGTCTATGTTAAAATTTTAAACTTCTGTACAATAAAAAATTGTTGTTAAAAAGAAGCAAGCCAGGACACCTGGGTGGCTCAGTCGGTTAATCGTCTGCCTTCGGCTCAGGTCATGATTCCAGGGTCCTGGGATGGAGTCCCGCATCCACACTCCTTACTCAGCAGGGAACCTGATTCTCCCTCTGCCTCTGCTGCTCCCCATGCTTGTGCTCATTCTGTCTCTCTCTGATAAATAAATAAATAAATAAATAAATAAATAAATAAATAAATAAATAAAAAAAATCTTAAAAAAAAAGTAAGCCGTGCACCAAGAGAATGTATTTGCCTATATCTAGCTGTCAAAGAATTAGTGCTGGCAAAAAACATAACTGTTAAAAAATTAATTTTTAAAAAGTGTAAATCAATAGAATGTAGGCAAGGGATATAAACCAATTTTAAGAAATAAAATTATGAGACATTTTGTAATTTTAAGGGAATTATTGTGTTTATGTATATGTGAGTTACTCTAGAATGCACTTCACAGGAATGCCTTGTGTATGTTAAATTACTTATTGCAAAGTGGCTGCTTTCAGCCTTCCCACCCACTTCGTGACCAGCACTCATTAATGTTTCCCTTTTCTGCTGTTCTTCGCACGACAACCCAACTGCCCTGGGCAGATGGTGCCACCTAATGGTAGATCTTACAGAAGTCCTCTCTATTGCCTTACAAATGGTCTCTTTCAAGTTACTCCTTTTCTCTTTTCTCATGTCTTTTTCATATTTACAGATAAAATACTTATATTTGATCCTTAACCTCACTGCTAGAATGGGTGATTTTGAATGTCTCTAACCAGGTGCGGTATTGGTCACATGGAGCAGGGTGGTAGAGGAAGAGAGTCCAAACGACTGTGGGGCCTCCCCTCCTTGAAGGGGATGGCAGTAGTAGAGGCCCTCTAAACGGGGGTGGGGGTGTCAAATTAAAACCATCCAGGCGATGTTAGTATCCGAGAGAGCTTGTCTGATCTCAGAAATCAGTGTGAAACAGGCACCAAATGTTCTGCCCTTCTGTGATCCTTGGGGTCAGGGGCAGATTGGGTCGTAAATGGGAGTAATCATGTCTAAAAGGAGAGGGACACGGAAGCTAGGTCCTACTGTGGCTGATGAAATGGCTGCATAGAAATACTCCGGCTAACTTTTTCAGTCATCCTCCACCCTCTACCCACCGCCCCCACGCTGGGTGCTAGGTTGGCCTTCAGGTGCAGCCGCTAGCCTCTTAGAATTGGTAGAAATCGTGCAAGCTAGTCTAATTCCCAACTGCTGGGGGTCCTGACTACCATCCCATTGTTCCCTGGCCTCTCAGCCTCACTGAATAGACCTTTTCATCCTCCATTCATTAAATCTACATGTGCTTAAAGATTACCACTCAGGACAAACGAAAGATACTCAACTTTATTGTTTATTTCATTCTTTTTTTTTTTTAAGACTTATTTATTTATTTGAGAGAGAGAGAGAGCAAGCACATGCACACATGAGTCAGGGGAGGGGCAGAGGGAGAGAGAGGGAGAATCCCAAACAAACTCCCCACTGAGTGGGGAGCCCATGGTGGGGCTTGATCTCACCACCCATGAGATCCTGACCTGAGCCAAAATCACAAGCTGGACGCCTAACCGACCAAGACACCCAGGGGGCACCCCTGTTGATCTCATTCTTTAGTTATTAGTATTGTAATATTATTGACCTCTACTCTTTTTCAGGCTAAAATGTACAGAGAGTAGCTATATTATGATTACATGGAGTTTTGTGAGCTGGCGTGTGGCCCTAATCACCATTTACAACGTTGCTTCTTTGGGAAAGTGCATTTTGCCTTTCAAACCACAGCCTTCCAAATGCATATTTGGAACACAATCCGTTTGTGAGCTGGGAACCCTCTGTATTAATGTCTGTTGGCCCAGGGCAGCCCCACAACCAAACGACATGTGGTTTAAGGTTCGTCTTAACAGCCGGTTCATTTAAATAATGTTAGCTGGAGCTCAGTCCAGGTTCTCAGGTTTCTGGTTAAATTGGAATAGGGGAGGCAGCAGAATGACTGTGTTCAAACAGCATGTGTGGGGCACCCCACTCGCTGTAGAGAGATGGCACATTCCTGCTTTTCATGATTTTCCCTGTAGGTTTCAGGACTGAGCCTCTTCTGAGGGCAAGCTTTAAAGTTCTATTGAACAATTGATCCTGAAAAAGAACTGCTTTTAAAAACCAACTATACTTCCCAGCTTGGAAGTTCAGCTAGGGTCATTCTCGTTTATTGAGTTCAGGGGCCCTCTCAGTGGGAGGGAAAACCGCATTTAAGTCCTTGATGGGGCTCCTTGCCCTCCCCTCCCCTTGTTTTCCTTTCCTGGTGTCTCTTT